TTTTTTTTTTTTTTTTTTTTTGCAGTCTTTGGCCGGGGCTGGGTTCTGGTATATGGGGCCAGCACCCTACTCCTTTGAGCCACAGGCGCTACCCAAATGCCTTTTTTTTCCTTTAAGTAAATACCTAGTAGTGGGAACGCTGGATCAAGTGCTAAGACCATTTTTATTTCTATAGATATCACCATACTATCTTGTATAGAGGTTGTAGTAGTTTGTGGTCCCACCAACAGCATATAAGTGGTCCATTCTCTCCACATCCATGCCAGAACTTGTAGTTTTGGGGCTTTTAGGTAAGAGCCATTCTCACTGGAGTGAGGTTGTATCTCATCACGGTTTTGATTTGCATTTCCCCTATGATTAGAGATGTAGAGCATCTTTTCATTTGTTTGTTGGCCATCAGACTATTTTTAATTGAAAATTTCTGGTCTTTTCTATTGCTTATTTTTTAATGGGATTCCTTGATTTTTTTTTTCCCCTTGCTTATTTGATTGAGTTCTTTGTGGATTCTGGTTATCAGCCCTTTCAGATGCCTAGCTTGCAAATATTTTCTTCCATTCTATAGATTGACTATTTATTTGATTGATTGTGTCCCTAGCTGTGCAGAAAATTTTTAATTTGATTAGGTCTTATTTGTTCATTTTTCCTTATTGCCTAAATATCCTTAGGCTGATACCTATAAGAGATTTCCTACAATTTTCTTCTGAAATACTTATAGTTCTGTACCTTAGGTTTAAGTCTTTCATCCATCGTGAATCAATCTCTGTTAGTGTTGAGAGATGCAGATTGTTTTAATGTTTTGCCTGTGACTCTCCAGCTTTCCTAGCACCCTTTATTGAAGAGGGATTATTTCCCCAGTGTATGGTATTGTCTGCCTTGTCAAAGATCAGATGTCAATATGAAGATGTTTTCATCTCTGGGTTCTCTGTTCTGATCCATAGGTCTATGTCTCTGTTTTTGTGCTAGTACCATGCTGTTTTGGTGACTATAATCTTGTACTACAGCTTGAAGCTGCTAAGTAATGCCTCTTGATTTGTTCATATTATGTAAGATTGCATTGGTTATTCATGATCTTTTCTGGTTCCACATGAAGAATCCATTATTTTTCTAGATCTTAAAAAATGACATTGGTATTTTAATGATGATTGCTTTGACTCAGTTTAGTTAGGATAGCCATTATAACAATGGTGGTTCTGCTGGTCTGTGAGCATGATATATTTTCCATCTGTTTCCATCCTTTGCAATTTTTTTCTTTAGTGTTTCATGGTTCTTCTTATAGGGATCTTTCAGCCTCTTAGTTAAATACGTTCTCAGGTCTTTTATTTTCTTTGTTTCTACTGTGAAAGGTATTGTGTCTTTGATTTTATTCTCAGCTTGACTCTTGTTGGCGTATATGAAAGGTACTGATTTGTGTACATTTAACCGGCAACTTTGCTGAATTTATTCATAAATTCCAAGAGTGCCTTTTAAAAATTAAATTAGCTTCTTATTTTTCAACTGTAAGAGTTCTTGTTTTTTCTGAATGTAAATAATCTAACATCCAAGTGCCAGCATATTCTGAGTCTGATGAGGCGCATATGCCGATTCATGGATTTGTGCTTTGTCTCTGTGTTTTCATCTGGTAAAAGTGGGAAACCAGCTTTTTGAAGACTTTTATCAGTCATTAATCATGACCACCCACCCAAATGCTCTCTCTTCAATAACTCATTCATTTACTTTACTTTGTTCTCTCCAATTACATTGCATTATCAGAGACTTCCTGTAATAAATATCAGAGTATAAGAATATCTCATCCATTTTCCTCATGTTTCTGAACTGGCTTTTCGTTTCCTGCATAGCATGTTAATCCCCCAACATGTAAATATTTTTATCTAGACTGTAGTTTCCATAGTACTTTTATTCCGATTCTGCCTCCAATCCCCAGAAGAGAGCTCAGTTTTTGAATCAATACATACAAGTCCGTGCTCACTTCAGCCACACGTACAGTAAAAATTGGAACAATACAGAGATTAGCATGGCCCCTGTGCAAGGATGACATGCAAATTCATGAAACGTTCCATATTTTTAAAGAACCCAAATTAGACCTCCCATTTGATCCTGCAATCCCATTACTGGGCATCTACCTGGAAGAAAAAAAAAATTCTTTTATCATAAGGACACTTGCACTACACTGTTTATCACAGCCGAATTTACAATCACCAAAATGTGGAAACAACCGAAATGTCCACCGACTCAAGAATGGTTTAACAAAATATGGTATATGTATGGAATACTATTCAGCTATTAAAAAATATGGAGACTTTACATCTTTTGTATTAACCTGGATGGAGGTGGGTACACATTCTTCTTAGTAAAACATCACAAGAATGGAGAAAAAAGAATCCAGTATACTCAATTCTAATATGAAGTCAGTAGATGAACTAACACAAGGTGGGGGGGTAGGTGAATGAGGAATGGGGAGAGGGCAGGAGGAAGGGGCACAGTGTATGACACATCTCTTGGGGGCAGGAAACAATTACAAGAGAGACTTTACCTAATAAATGTAATCAGTGTAAACTAATTGTACCCTCACTGAATCCCAAATAGTAAAATAAATAAATAAATAAATATAAGTCCACATCGCCTGGAATTGTAATTTATATTTCTCATTTAACATGAAAAATATAGTATAAAGAATAAATGTAGCCTAAAACATATATAAGTAACTTATTTTGACTCAAAGACAAGACTAAAAAATTTGATAATTCACTCACTTCACTCACAACTGATATCAAAGAACAAATGATGTATTATTTTAATTTTAGGAACAGTATGAAAGACATGAAAGAAAAAATGTTTATACTATTAATTTCTCCAAACATTAACATATGAAATAAAATGTTTATGAAAAATGCCCTCGAGGCCTGTGTTGTTTTAATTGCCATCACTATCTTATGCCAATTTATGCCAATAAGACTACATGTGTGATGCTATAAGCTGTCTTAATATTAAATGCAAACAGGAAAGAGGAAAAGAAATTTAGAAGTGAGTGTCTCAGTATTTGGGTTAAGATAACTCCATTTTAGATCAAAGCTCTGTCATTTATTTACTATTTTACTTTTTATCTAGTTCGCACTGAAAATTTTTTAAGCAGTTAATCTATTTCCTCACTTAAAAATGATAATAAAAGACCTTATTAGTTATGAGATGTAAGTGAAGTCTCCCGTGTGTTATTGATTTATAAACTGTAAGTCCCAGCACTAATATTTTTTATTTAAAAAGTGATACACATTTCTGGTCTCAAAATTTCCCATAGCTTTATTAAATTTACTTAATCAGAAAGCAATCTTGTTCAAAAATTAACTTCATAAACTCGTAGACATTTTAATAAACAGAGAGGAAAATGATGACATAATACAGAAAAAGGGTACCTTTGGAAAAATCTCTCACACTGAATCAGAAAATGTGATAAGGAATATAATTTTATTACATAGCTATTTAGAATGTGTTGATATTATTTTGCATATGATATTTTTAATCCCTCAAATTGGCCAATTTTATGCAAACAACTGAAATTTACAGATATTAATTTATATGGATAGCCCCTCTTAGATTGAGCTAATCAAGTTGCTGAACTTCACAATTTGTGTATTCCCCATTTCTACATGAATATTCTGATGACATGATATGGGTGGTCCTAATCTTTTTGTAGAACAGAAAACATACTGATATTTCTTTCCTTTTATAGTCCTCATTTACAACTTTGTAAAGTGATTCAAAAATGATGGTCTCCATGTATCCTTTCTAATCTCCATTTTTAGCTAACACAGATACATAGGTTATACAGAAGGAGTATGTACCAATACCTTTTTGTAATAAATTGTGTCTCTGTTGTATGAGAAATCACTTAGCACACACATGTGCTCCCCTGTCTCTCACACAATTCTCCTACTCCATCTACAATTGCAGGCGAATTCTTTATGTACGCACATTGGTGTGAATATGTGTGTGTGTGCAATGTTGCATGTGTTTGAAAAGAGGCATTGTGCAAGCCTGGTTGATTAAAAGCAATCTATATATAATTTTTATTTTATTTATTTACTTATTTATTAGAGACAGAGTCTTCACTTTGTCATCCTCGGTAGTGTGCCATGGTGCCACAGCTCACAGCACCCTCCAGCTCTTGGGCTTAGGCGATTCTCTTGCCTCAGCCTCCCAAGTAGCTGGGACAACAGGTGCCCGCCACAAAGCCCAGTTATTCTTTTGTTGCAATTTGGCCGGGGCCAGGTTTGAATCTGCCACCCTTGGCATATGGGCCCAGCGCCCTACTCACTGAGCCACAGGTGCCGCCTTCTATATATTTTTAAAATAGCCAAATCTAAGATGAAGTATTGTTGAGAAGTCATATTAGTTATGAGCAGCTTCATAGGGAAGGTGTTAATTTCAGAAAATCCATTCTCCAATTTTTAAAATAGAGAGACAGAGAGAGACCACCTCTTGGGGTGGGCAGATTTTTTAATTAATGTTGAAAACAATAGTGTTTTTGAAAAATAATAGATGAAAAAAGCTTTATAAAAGTGGGAACTTTTAGAATAGAGCAAAGTTTGAAAAAATAACAAATTTTCCTCTGTTCTTAACATCCTGGCTCCAGTAATACACTTTATGATTACCATCACAGCATTTGTTTTTGTTGTTAAGAAAGAAATATCTGAAAAGAAATATCTGTAGCTGGGTATTGTGGTGGGCACCTGTAGTCCCAGCTACTCGGAAGGCGGAGGCCAGAGAATCACCAAAGCCCAGGACTTGGAGGTTGCTGTGAGCCACCTTACTCTACCGAGGGTGATAAAGTAAGACTCTTTCTCCACCAAAAAAAAAAAAAAAAGAAAGAAATATCTGTTACAATTACTACTAGCAATAACACAGTCTCATTTACCAGTGGCATTTTTCTTATCTTACAATGATGTTTTGGTATAGTTATTAATTTTTATGGACAAGCATAGATATATAGGAAATGCATGTAATTCTAAAGGAATTTCTGGGAAAATTCCATATCATCAATTATTTGTACCTCCATTCAGATTTAGTAATTTATAGGAGGAATTTTCAAATACTGTATAGATTTTTATTGTTAGGAAATATGAGAAAATAATAATAATAAACTTGGAAATTTCTTTACCACAATGATGAAATTTTTAAAGAGGGAATGTTCTTCTTACTCATTGTTAAAAAAAGACAGTTCTTCACAATTACTAGTAGGTTAATAGAACATTAATGAAATCAACCTAAAGAAACACAGACTCTTCATTTCCTCTCCGTTTTCTTTATATCACTCTAGAAATATAAATTCCCAAACCCTCATTTGAATGTAATTTTCCAGAGCAGTGCTTATGGAAAACTGTATTACATTCTTTACTTTTAGGGAGTGGCAGAAGTTTAAAAAAATACTGAAACTAATTTTTAAGGGCTGTTTCTCATATGAATTCACAATTTCAGCACCTTGTCAAAGCCTATACTCAGTACTCAGTTGACCTAGTTCTTCATATACCAGGACTGGGCTCTCCAGAGTTATGTTTTAACTGGATGATTTTATATAGTTGTTAACATAATGAACTGAGGATAATAGAACCACATAGCAGTTAACTCTGTCCACTGATCTTCAAATATGGAAAATAAGGGAAAGGGTTTCTAGGTCAAGGGAATAGAGAATATTTAGTGATATATTTGAGACTAGGACCGTCTTGCTCCCTGTGTTTTCCACAGTGACGGTAACAGGGACCATTATGGGAAGCATTAATTCAATTAACATCCATAAACCTGAGAAAAGTATGTATCTTGAGTTAACTGTTCTTAAAATGTATAATACATAATTCATGCCAATGATAAAGTTTAGAGTCTATGCCCTCCAGGAAATATGATCAATGAAATGTGATTAGAAAGTATTTGAGGATCATCTTACAAAATGCTGTCCACAGAAAGGTTTTCTTGAACTCTTCTGTAATATACTTTAAAGTTCAATAACTTTTAGGCAGGGAAAACTGTATTTCTGGCTATAAGCAGGTTCCTAAGTAGCATAAATCAGCTACAATGCAATTTAGTTTGTTTCACAGTTTTGACTACCCCCTCTCCCCCACTGACCACTATCCCCATCCCTGACATATAAAGCAGGAAAGTGTTTTCCTTTTGGTCTTTTCATCAGTAAGTTAGGCATGAACAGCTCCAGGATGGAGGATAAAAGGCAGGAGGTACTGTTAGAAATCAGTTCCCTAGGGCGGTGCCTGTGGCTCCAAGGAGTAAGGCACCAGTCCCATATGCCGGAGGTGGCAGGTTCAAACCCAGCCCCAGTCAAAAAAAACAAGTTAAGATGTATAAAATACATAGTCCAAATGAAACAACAAGCAAGATTTAAAGAAGAAAGAAAGAGAGAGAGAGACAGGAAGGAAGGAAGGAAGGAAGGAAGGAAGGAAGGAAGGAAGGAAGGAACCAGTTCCCTAATTCTCCGGCTGTCCATCTCCCACAGCACACATCGTGGGAGTGATGCTGAAGGGATTCCAACAACCCACCAGCAGGAGACCCTGAAATCTGTTGCTGTTTATTCTCCCAACACCAAAAAGAGCTGGTGGCCCAAGGGTATGAAAAACCACCAAAGCTTGCTTCTTGAACCCCTTCTCAATGGCTCCTTCTAAAAACAGTTATAAAATCCCTCACAATCCAAAGCCCCCATGTGTAAATTGGAATTTTTGGCTTGGAGTCTCCAATGTAGGCAACTGCACGAGCAGGACTCCCCATGGTTATTCAGAAAGCCGCTCCCCGACCGCTTTCACTCTACTGTGAGCAGAGTCTCTGAGACCATGTTCCAACCATCTTCCCAACCCCTGGCTTAAGTGGCTCATGTTAAGTGTATCTACAGGCAATTCAGTGGCTATCTGTGAATTGTGCTGCTGTAACAGAACACTGAGGCTGAGTAGTTTAAAAAAATAATAGAAATTTATTTATTATAGTTCTTGGAGTCCAAGATCGAGGAACCAGCAGGTTCACTCTGGAGATGGACCACTCCTCTCAGATGACACCACCTGAATGTCATCACGTG